ATTTTATTAATTTTAATTATTAAAAAATAAAAATTATTTAAATAAATAAATAATTTAATAAAAGGTAATTAAAAACCTTAAAAATCTAAAAACTATTAAAATTTTATATAAAGAGTTTTTAATCTGAATTTTTTATCAGCTTAATTATTAATTTTTTAATTTTCAAATTAAATAACCAAAACCCAAATTATTTAAATTTAATTTAATTTAATTTTTAATGAAACAAATCTAAAACCCAACCAATCCTTATCCATTGGTGACAAAAATATGATTTCATCAAGTTTCAATTTTTTTTGGATTGCGGATTTTGTTGTCCACCCCTATCGCCTTGTATAGCCCCTTAAAAAAAAGAGGGGGAGGGTGTGGGGTGGGGGGAAGAAGGACAGATTAGTTGGGAAAGAGTTGCTGGATATTAATAGAGCACTAAAAGTCTACTAGTGGTTGGACTTGAACTCCAAAACAGTACGCTTTCTGCTACTCTCACTTGGTCCTTTGGCCCAATAATAACAGAAAACAGACCTGGGCTGATTAACCCGTCCAAACGATTAAATGAAAGGGGATTACGAATATAGTCCGCTGTTTACAGTGGGCCCTCTCCATCCGAGGGTGCCTGATTTTCAACCCAAAATAGTTTAGATAATAAAATAGTTATTACTCATATTATTATTATTATTATTATAAAAAGATGAAGTAGAGTTGGTGCCAGATAGATTATAAAATAGATTTTTTTATTATTTTTATTATGAATTATATAAAAATATTTTATAATTTAAATTATATCAAATATATAATTTAAATTATTAGTCATTAAAATTAAACTTTTAAATTTAAGTGATTTATTTTTAAATTTTAAAATATTTTAGTTAATTATTCGGATTTCAACTCTCACTAAAAGGTCTTTTTCCCCAAACTCTCAAATTATAAACGCGTTAAAAAAAATGAAATTTCTGGGCGTTGGATAGGTAAATTTCCTTTAAATAAGTTTTTGTTTTATTATTTAATGCAGTCCAGACTGCAAATCAAAGCAATTATTTGTAGAGGGACAAAAGAGGGGGCGGTGTTAGGTCTACGGCTGAACGCGAGTGGAGGATACGATCCTCATCAGAGTTCAGAGATCCCCAAATTTCCTTCCTGCGTCTTGGCGAGTGAGAAAGAGCGAGTGAAGCCAAAACCCTAATTCCTTCCTCCAGTTCTCTACGCGCCTCAACCCCACTCGCCTTTGGTTTTTGCAGGACATCACCTCAACTCAACTTACAGGTTTCTGTTCCTCTCTTTCACTCTTCCCCTGTCTCCCTTAACCCTCTTGTTTCGTTATATGTTTTCACAATTTCATTGTCTTCGTTTGTTTCAGTTTAGATAAGCATACATCTGTTTTGTTGCTGAGAAAATTTATTGTAACTTTTTGTATGTATCTTGTTCTGGTGTGTTGTTCAAGACAACAACAGCAAAGTTATCTTTTTTTCTCTGAACGGGTTGATACCCATTTGTCTTCTGAGAAGATAAAATCATGGGAAAGGATCAAGATGGAACCTTTTTAGATTTTTTAACATTGTTTAGTGAGGAAATTGTTATCTGTAGGTATTAGATTGGTAATGTATAGATCATTTGCAGAGCTGCTTAGTCAAATTACCTAACTTCCACCTGATAGGAAGAATTTCACTGCTTTTTTTGTTTTTATTTTTTTTTAAATTACTGTTAATAACAGTTGAATGCACATTATGTCTCTGTTTTGCTGACAAAGGTTCAAATTTTACAGTTTGGAGCATTATAATTAATGGGTTTATAATTTCTTTGCTAAAAGATTTGTGCAGTATTTGTAGATCATATGTCTTATTGAGAATGCTGTAGCTTTGATTTTTGGTTCCTTGTAGGTGCACATACAAGGATTAGTTAGGACTTAGCAGTGGTATAGGTCTTTTAACGAGCTAATTATATGTTCCTTCTTGTTATTGTTGTTGTAAATTGTAAGCATTAAGCATTTTCTATGTGCAGGTTTAGAGGAAGTTACTGAAATCAAATAAACTCTAGTCATGGACATAGATCTTAGGTTGCCCTCTGGTGAACAATGTAAGGAAGATGAAGTGCATAATGGATTAGAAGATAGCATGCTGGATGGTGATGAAAAACTGCAACTGCATACTGGAGATCTTGGAAACCTGATAGGTGTTGGAGAGGAGGTACAGGCTGAAGATGGTGGAGACTTGAATTCTTCTGCTGTGGATATGGGAGTGTTCAAAGAGGATGTGAACCTTGAGCCTCTTTCTGGTATGGAATTTGAATCTCATGGGGAAGCATATTCTTTCTATCAAGAATATGCACGGTCTATGGGATTCAACACTGCTATACAAAATAGTCGCCGTTCAAAAACATCTAGAGAATTCATTGATGCAAAATTTGCCTGTTCTAGATATGGAACCAAGAGAGAGTATGACAAATCTTATAACCGGCCACGTGCAAGACAAAGTAAGCAAGACCCTGAAAATTCAACTGGTCGGCGATCATGCTCAAAGACAGATTGCAAAGCAAGCATGCATGTGAAAAGAAGACAAGATGGAAAATGGGTGATTCACAGTTTTGTTAAGGAGCATAACCATGAGCTTTTACCTGCCCAAGCTGTTAGTGAACAGACCAGGAAGATGTATGCTGCAATGGCTAGGCAATTTGCTGAGTATAAAAATGTTGTTGGTCTTAAGAATGATCCCAAAAGTCCATTTGATAAGGGTCGAAATTTGGCATTAGAAGCAGGGGACAGTAAGAATTTGCTTGAATTTTTCACAATAATGCAGAATATGAATTCTAACTTCTTCTATGCAATAGATCTTGGTGAGGATCAACGCCTAAAGAATTTGTTATGGATCGATGCCAAAAGTAGGCATGACTATAGTACTTTCTGTGATGTTGTATCCTTTGATATGACCTATGTCAAGAACAAATATAAAATGCCTCTTGCTCTATTTATTGGGGTGAACCAGCACTATCAATTCATTTTGCTTGGCTGTGCTTTGATATCAGATGAGAGTGCTGCAACATTTTCATGGCTAATGAAGACTTGGTTGAGAGCAATGGGAGGACATCCCCCCAAAGTTATCATCACTGACCAAGATAAGGCTCTAAAATCAGTTATTTTGGAGGTCTTTCCAAATGCTCATCATTGTTTTTTTCTATGGCATGTTCTGGGAAAGGTTTCTGAAAATCTTGGTCATGTAATTAAGCAGCATGGAAACTTCATGGCAAAATTAGAGAAATGCATCTATAGGTCATGTACAAATGAAGAGTTTATAAAAAGATGGTGGAAAATTCTTGATAGATTTGAACTGAAAGATGATGAATGGATGAAGTCTTTGTATGTAGATCGTAAAAACTGGGTTCCAACCTACATGGTGGATTTTCTGTTGGCTGGGATGTCTACAGTTCAGCGTGCCGAGAGTGTAAACTCCTTCTTTGATAAGTATGTGCATAAGAAAACCACTGTGCAAGAGTTTGTGAAACAGTATGAATCAATTTTACAAGATAGGTATGAAGAGGAAGCTAAAGCTGATTCTGATACATGGAACAAGCAACCAGCACTGAAATCTCCCTCACCTTTTGAGAAGAGCGTTGCAGGGGTATATACACATGCAGTGTTCAAAAAGTTTCAACTGGAAGTTTTGGGCGCAGTTGCTTGTCATCCCAAAAAGGAGAACCAAGATGGCACAACCAGTACTTTCAGAGTTCAAGATTTTGAAAAGAATCAGGACTTTATAGTTATTTTGAATGAAATGAAGCCTGAAGTTTCCTGTCTATGTCGATTGTATGAATACAAAGGTTATCTCTGTAGACATGCAATGGTTGTTCTCCAGATGTGTGGTCTCTCTGCCATTCCATCCCAATATATTCTGAAAAGGTGGACTAAAGATGCAAAGGGCAGGCATTTGTTTGGAGAAGAATCTGAACAAGTGCAATCTAGGGTTCACCGGTACAATGATCTCTGTCAACGGGCAATGAAATTGACTGAAGAGGGATCTTTATCCCAAGAGGGTTACAACATTGCATTCCGTGCCCTGGAAGAAGCTTATGGGAATTGCTTGAGTGCAAACACTTCTAACAAGAGCCTGATAGATGCTGTTACGTCACCTACTCATGGTCTGATATGCATTGAAGAAGATAACCAAAGTAGAAGTACGGGCAAGATAAACAAGAAAAAGAACCCAACCAAGAAAAAGAAGGTAAGCTAGGCATTGCTTTTGGAGCATGCATATGTTGGAGATATGTTCTGTTCGTTCCTTAAAGATGATATTCTTTATAAATTGCAGGGAAATTCAGAACAGGAGATCATGACTGTTGGGGCGCAAGACAGTTTGCAACAAGTGGTCAGTAATATTTTAGTCAGCCTACTAGAAGATGTGTTAATGTCACAACTTACCTGCAAAATAATCATTCCATTTTTCCCAAAAAAAGAAGAAGATACCTGCAAAATAATACTATAATGATAAGCATGCCTCTGTGGCTTTTAAAATTAGAATTAAATTAAGTCAGATTATGATTGTTCTTGCTGGTGTAATTTTTATTTTTGCAGGATAAATTGAGCCCAAGACCAGTAACCCTTGATAGCTATTTTGGCACACAACAGAGTGTCCAAGGAATGGTAAGAATTTCTGTAATTTGCTTAATTTTTTTCATAGATGGTTATACCTTTTATGTACCAGTTGGTGGCTTATGCTTTTGGCAGGTGCAACTGAATTTAATGGCTCCTCGGGAAAGTTATTATGCAAATCAACAGGCAATGCAAGGGCTGGTATGTAACAATTTCTTTTACGATAATGTGTATCCAACCATTGCATCACAGGTGAAGGTAATCTTTTAGTGTGGTTACACATTTGTAGGGACAGTTGAATACAATGCCGACAAATCCTGATGGTTACTATGGGACTCAGCAAACCATGCCCGCAATGGTATGGTATCCAGTTGTTCTCTTTGCAATGATTTGTTTCACCAAGCTCAGATATAACATTATAGGTACCGCATGTTATCCTTGCAGGGGCAGATGGACTTCTTCCGAACACATGGTTTTTACATTCGGGTTAGTCTTGTAAACATGGTGCTTTGGTCTAATTAGGTTTCTTTTTCTTACAGGATTTCCTTACATTGTTCTTTTCTTTTTCATTTTCTTTTGGCTTCCTTTTTTCCATTCTAACAGGATGACCCCAGTGTGAGAGCAACACAGTTGCATGAGGATGCCTCGAGACATGGATGATACTACTACTCTCTTTGTGAAGGTAGTTCTATTTGCGGCAACTCTTGCTATTTTGCATCCTTGTTTTTGAGTTAAGAATTTTTTATGTAGATGGGGACAGGATACCATTGAGTGCTTGGTCAGAAGTCAAGAGGGAACAAATTGTACTAAGAGCTGAAATGGTTGTAAAGATGGAAGCTTTTGCATTTTCAGGTTACATGAAGGAAACAATAATGTATTGGTGTCTGTAGGGTAATGATATGTAGGGTGTTTCTAGCTTCATGGTTCATTAGTTGGGACAAATTAAAATTGGAGCTAGTATTTCTTGTATAGTTTGTTGTATTTTGTTTATATATGAGGTCGTTAACAGCCTCACTTCAATGACGTTGTAAGCAATATGATGCATGTTCCTGATACTATGTTCCTCCGGTCATCTCTTGCGGTTTAAAATAATGGACAATGATTATTGACATTGTTTGTTAACAGAAGTCATGTGACTTAAAACCTGTGGATGTCTACTTATTTATATTTCTCGTCCACTGAAAATGATCAATAAAAATTAGGATTTAGCTAAGGGTTCTGTTTTCCCAAAACTTCTCAAGTGGTTTCGCAGGTGTTGAATAACTTCTCAAGTGGTTTCGCAGGTGTAGAATTTAAATGTGAACTTAAATGTGAACGTATCATTTATTTTTTTGAAAAGCAAAAGAATTTTTTCAACGATTTTTTTTTCTACACAGTCAATGTCCATTAGAATGGCCAGAAGAATATTGGTTTAAAGTTGAGTTTTGTGCCCTTAAGATGATTTGTAAAATTGAGGGATGTCTTCTTATAGAATAGGTTGCTAATCTATCTTAAATAATCTTAAGGACTTTACTAATACCGTGAATTTAAAGTTAATAAATCCTCAGTAAACCGAATGAATGCAAATTAGAATAAATTTGATGTTTATTGCACACAAAAAAATCAAAGAAACAATTATATAAACTGATTTAGCTATTTAAATACTGAAAACAACCCAAATTAATTAATTAGATCTGTGCTAAAATTGAAATTTACAAGCTAATGTGAGCAATCATTAGATAACTAGAGAGTTGAAAATTTGATAAGTTTTATATAAGGGTGATTGTGTGTATTGAAAAATCTAAAACTCTCTTTTTTTAGTTTCTTGTAAATTGTCTCCCCACTTCACTCGCTAAACTATTGCAGAATGTGAATAACTCAGCCACCTTTCCTCCTAAACTGTAGGAATTTTTGTCTTTTTTTTAAATTCAAACTATAATAAATCGAGTAATCTTTATCTTTTCAAATCAATTTTTACAAATATGTATTCTTTCAATAGATTTAATATCATATTATCTATTAACATATGACATCACTAAAAATGTAATTTATGATGTAAATAGGTACATATTAAAATATATTAAATATATTATGTTGTAATAAATTTTTATAAAAACATAAAAGTAAG